AAGTCTTTTCTTATCATTAAACCCCTGAGTCCGAGCTCCGGGGCAGCCCAGCTCTGCGGCGGAGGGGGACAAGGCCTTGCAGCTCAGCTGGGCAGAATGAATGCTCCTTCTCCAGCACCCGGGCTGCACTTCGTGTTCTCTCTTTGGGGGGTTGTCTCCCACTCTGCCCTGTTCTCTGCTCCGTTTCGCACCCCAGTGTGATGGTTGTATTCTCTTCCCGCCCCACACACACACACAGGCTCCGTTTCACACGGTCCTTCGCAGAGCACGAACCCCGTAATGGCCGCGTTGGGTCTGGCTTCCAGACCCGCCAGGTGACACGTGGGGTTCGCAGGGAGTCCGCCCCTCCCTGCTGCAGGCGTTTGGCCGCTTGGAGCCCTATAAGGCCCAGTGGAGGCACCACCGCCAAGCTGTGCTATTTATACTCCTCACACAGCCCCACCTACCCTACACATTGCGGAGCTGGGATCCGTTTTCCAGCCCGTGGCCACCTGGCCTTTTTCGGTGCTGCTCAGCCTCTTGGTGGGCTTGGAGCGGCTGTTCTGATCCATCGGCAAGGCAGACCAAGTTCTGTGGGGGCCTCCCAAACAATTGCCCTCCCCAGTAGAACAGACAAGACGCTGCACACAAAGGAACGGGCCTGGCGGCTCCCCGGCACTGCCGAAAGCTTTGAAAAATAGTCCCCACCACGCCCGTGTGACCAGAATGTCCATTGAAAGCGTCAGTTTGGGGGAGAGGGGGCTGGGTCTGCACCTATCAGCGTTGGGTGCCTGCTTCCCCCTGCCCCGAGCCCCCTAAGTCGGACAAAGGGGGCACCGTGCAGCACGGGCCAGGCACCACCGCGGTGGGCAGAGTTGGGTGCTGGGGGCCGCGCTTTTCCAAATCTGACCCTACGAAAAGCAGGTCCGTGTCATTCTGAAGGATGAATTCGCTTGTCAAATGTTGGCGGAACAAGGCGCGTTAGTGGAACTGTAGCTCCTCGCGGTGCCAGGTGAGTCACCCAGGCCGTGGCTTTTATAACCGGATGCACTAACAGCAGCTCTGGGGATACGAGTGGCAAATAAGGGCCCAGCCCTCTGCCATCCAGCTTCTTGGGCATGAACGTTCCCCTCTGTGACATGGAAGTTAAAGCTCTGTCCACAGCGCTTTGGCAAAGAATCACGTCTTCTCCAGGGCGGCTTCATTCGGGGCGGCTTCATTCGGGGCTGGCTTTTTTTCCACATTGCTCTTGGGGCCTGATCCAACTCCCATCAAAGTCACTGTACAGATCCTCCCTGGGTGTGGCCGCTTTTTAGATCTGCCCGTTCTCTCCCTCGTTCTGAGGCGGACAAGACAGATGTGCTTTATGCTCAACTCTCCAGACCAAAATTCAGCTGCCAAGACACAGAGGAACCCACTTCGATTTTCTCTGTGCTCCTAGGATAGGTCAAATACTGATGTAGGGGGTCTGCATTTAGCCTGACTTCCCCCCACAAGCAGTCCTAGGGATCTCGCTTGCACCCTGGGTGTCATTCTGTCCATAACCAGGCATCCTTCACCTATTAAAACTGACTTCTCGTCTTCGTCCTTTTGCTTCTCCAAGGCACAGCATCCTTCCATACTAAATGCGCCTGGGGAGCAGCCTCTTCCCTGCTTAGCAGTCCCCCCATTCCTCCTCCCGGCTAATCCTGCAGGTTTGTTAGGCACATTTGCCCCCCATAATAAAACGAGCTCTGAAATCTTTCCCTTGGCTACTGAAGTCACAAGGGAGCAGGAAAGTTCGTCACAGTTTCTTAAAGCACAAATGCAGTTAAAGGTTAATAATGGAATTGTTCCTAGACACTAGAAGAACAAAACTAGTCAAGGAAGCATCTAGACTAACCCTCCGTTGAGTGTTCATTCTGGGAAGCGCTGAGCATGAGAACTAGGGGACTGTTCGCTACTGGTTTTCTACAGCCAGGCTTGGGAGAGAGGTTCCCCCTTGTAAACTCCCCAGGACAGGGATTATTATTAGGATGTTTGTGACTTACACATGGTTGGCGCTTAGCAAATAATACACAATAATTGTTACTAAATAGCCAAAGAAGTACCTAGTCCATGAGTAAACCCATTGGAATCCACAGGGCTCCTGACAAGAACGGCATGTCTCAGCACACGCAAGGGGGCGGAATCTGCTCCGTGATTTGTTATAAATGCCTCTGGATCTTAGATATCGAGATGATTGTTCATCCTTTTATTAATTTATTAAAAGTGTTCATCCTGGCATGCCTCACACACACCCTTGGCCAAATCCCACTCCCTTTACTCAGAGGAGTAGAACCACTGACTTTGATAGGGCTCCTCAAAGGAGTAAACAGGATTGGACCCTGCAGCCTGATATTTTCATCAATATACAGTCTCCTTCATGCAAGCAGCCTGTGGTCGTTACTGCTGAAGACCCTCAGCCCCATACATGGGTAATTACACAGCGACACAACCTCCTAAAACAGAAACCTGCCCAGCCAAAACCAGCCCAAGATTGTCTCTCCCCACATTCCTGGGGCAAACTTTCCAAGTACACAAACAAGAGACATTCCTATATGTCGTTAACACTGCCCGTTAACCACAGCTTCCGAACCATCCAGCCCCGGTTACTGCCCAGTGGATGATAAATGACACATGATTAGTGCAAGGCAGAGCACAGAATAATGATACTCCTTCATAACCAATCAGTGTGAACAAATCATAGGTTTTGCCTTGCGAATGGCTCAAAGCTAGCCCCACGGGACAGCAGAAGCATCCAGAAAGGCAGTACGGGCTGACACCAGTGTGAACATTTCTCTCCTCACTGCAAAGCTCGTTTTCCATTGTATGCAGGGGAAAGTGGACTGGACAAACACACCCAACTCTTCCAGGGGGTTCCCTGTGATCTGTTAGTAGCAGTCCGAATGTTCACTGTACAGGATCATCTGTGACTCAGCTAACACAGCAGTGGAGTAATAGAGAGGGGCGTCTTTGTTGTGCTAATACAGAATGATGACTGCTGCCCATCCCATCCTAGCTCTCAGCCACTGCAAGTCTCATGGATTTCGCTCTCCAGCTCAGGCTTTAAATCAGGACACTGTGCATGGCTTCTCCTCCACAAAGGAGCTTCATTCGCTCAGTGGGGTTTGGGCACAAGGCCGCTCCCTTGCCCCAAGACCTCCTTCGCTCTCTTACTCTTGCGGCGTCCTCTGGGCATGGGGAGAGAGTTGTGTAAACTCTGCGGTGTGATGAAAGGCCGTGCGTTTTCCTAAGTCCATGCACAGCTGTAGTTTCCATGAAGCAGCCCTTGAGTGTCTCCCTTGGGCTTTAACGCTCAGGGGTCTCATGCTGAAATCCACACTGGATAATTCAGTCTGGATTTCAAAACATTCTGCCCTTTGTCTAGAGAACAACTTTGTGCCGCAGAAAGTCTCACCTCAGGGCCTTTCTCAGCTGATTCTAACTCAGGGGCCGAGCCTGCGCCCAGTGAAATCAATGTGAGTTTTGCCTGCAGTGGAAGCAGGATCGGGTCCTGTATGAAAGCTTTGTCCCACAGGAAAGGGGAGACCGATGATTTGTTTAGTTTGCATGAGGAATCTCCAATGCTCACGACCAACAGCGCACACTAAAGAGCAGGTTCTCCCAGTGCCAGTCCACCAGGAATCAGGAGTTGGCCATTTCCCTACCACTTCGAAATACCTGCCAGGGATGTTCTGCCCGAGCCTCCCCTTTCGCTCCCTTCCCTTCCCAGGGGTTGTTTCCAGCACTGTTGCTTTAGGTGTCACCATTTTCCACAGCTGGCTCTAGTCCTCTGTGCGTGCTCAGTCCCCAGAGCTTCCGATAAATGTATTTATAAATCTGTTTAGGTGGCTGACATGCTCCTAATATACGTGAGTGTTTCAGCCTCCATGACAGAACTATAAATGCTTAAGCTGTGAATCAGAGACCTATATCGGTCCCGCTACTTGCTAGATTCCTCAGCCTGGCCTGACTAGATCTCCTTTCACACTAGGCTAGTAAGAAGTGCTGTGGATTTTGTGGGGTTTTTCTTCCCCCTTTTCCCTGTGAGCTGCACTGGATGTTTCTCTATGTATCCCTCACACAGTCTGTTATTAACCCAGATGCTTTGAACTATCCTTATCTCATTAACTGGCCCATTCGGTTTTTCTCCAGCTTTCCACTCTGGGGGTCTGCTCTGCAAAGTGAAGCTAAACCCAGACAGGCAGCGGAAGGGGAGGCGGAAGCCTGTGGCTGCATTTGTTTTGCTTGTTTGCCTGTTTGGTATTAAAAGATTAAAGGCCAGTCCAGCTCTGAGTGGGGGTGCGGAGCCTCCCGAGTGAAGCAGCCCGTCACAGAAACGGAGCGACTGGAATGCCCAGGACCTGCAGGTTATCGATGAAGGAATCTGTAACATACACTGGATCGTATTTCATTTTACAAGCAATGTGGTAAAGGCAAATCCCGGGGAAAGGAGGTGCTAATGAATTCAGTGGACCGGACCGTATTTTCTGTTTAATGTCTCCACTATGTCCCCTGTAAGAGTGAGGTTAAACAGGACTCTGGAGTTATTGTTCCATGTTATTGCTGTAGGATGCATATTATAAACCTGAACTAGCATCACTGCTTCTTGTCGCACTAAGGACTTCATCCCTCATAGTAAATCGTCTGTCTGAAATGACCGATTTAAAATACCCCTCTCCAGTTCCTCCTTTAGTTAAACAGCAGTCTTGCTAGGTAACCAAATGCTGCTGGTCTTTTGCAGTGGGGTGCTTGGGGCCAGTCTCACCATCTTTATGAAATTTCCTGTACTCATTTTTGTTAAGTGCAATAAATAACTATGTTAAACCTTCTGCCTTATGAAGAAACCAGTGCTGTTAGATTTGGAATGCCCTATTTATGGCACACTTCAACACTGGATGGTAGAGGAGCCATGTGAGGGAATGGGCCATCATGGTGCTACAGTTAGCACTGAAAATGCACACTGACGGTGCCTGGGGAGCTGCAGGATGTCTCCTTACCTGGTAGATCATGACTTTGAAGTTCCTTCGCTTCAACAGCTCCGCCTCGTTGACCTCCAGCTTCTTGATCTGCCCGGCTTGCTTCTCCAGGTTCTGCCGGACGGTTTTCACGTTGACGCTCACCTTGCGTACTTTCTCAAGCATCTTGTTCACGGTGTTGCTGGTGGTGGTGTGTGCTTTGGTGAGCTTGGTCAGTTCCCCCTGGATGCTGGCCACTGCGCTATCCATCTCTTGTTGCCTCTCCTCCAGCTGCGTCTGGGTCAGCTGGATCTGATCCACCGCCCCGATGATCTTGTCCAGAAGGGTGAGCACCATCACGCCATTGATCTGATCTGATTTAATCGGCTCCTCGGCCACCTGCTCCTCGGAGGTCTCGGAAGGAGCGGGCTGCTCAATGATTTGCAAAGGGGTGTCCGCCATGCTTGCTTGGGAGTCCCGACTAGCAGAGCCTGGAGAAGCTGTCGCTGCCGGGAGGAGAGTGAGAAGAAAAAAGTGAACCCGAGCTCTAGCTCAACTCTCTGTGCTGGGAGGCAAGCCAGAAATGGAGAGCACAGTGCGTGTGTGTGTGTGTGTGTGCGTGCTTGAATTCAAATGGCACAGCTCTGCAAAGCTGTCCAGGGAAACTGCCCTGCAAATTTTTCCAGGCTTGCAGGCCATTGGCTGACTCCACCTTAGCTATATAAAAGGAGCCCCAGCCAAATGCCTGATGACCCACCCTTTTTGAAATGATTAAAATAGTTGGAGCGGAGGGGGGGCGATGGCTTTTGCTTGCGAGCCCAGGCACGGCTCACGGAGGAATGTGAAACTCCAAAACTCCCAACAGCCTCTTCTTTGCCATCCGTCCAAAGGCATTCTGTGCAAAACTGCAAGGAATCTGGCCGAGAGGAAAAACAAAACCCTGCTGTAAGCTGCCCGGGAAGCTGCTAGACAGAAACAAGCCCCTTCTGGGCACAGCTGTGTACATGAAAGGGCGGCTGAAACAACTGCACACAGAAGGACAGGAACTCAGCCGGAACATTCAAACCCCTTTGCCTCCAGTTCGTGTTGCTGTGCAGGTCTGGGTCAGGCGGGCTGTCATTATTTTAGAGAGCCTTATACTCCTTATTGACTAGTTGTGGCATGTCCCTTTGGCTCATTCATGAGATTGAATCGCACGCACCTGTCTATGTATATTTACATACATGTGGACACACACACATGCAAGTACATATGTGAGATCGGTGTTGACATGTTACTACTGTGTTTGTATCTGTAGGCAGATTTAAATCAAAGGCGTAAATCTAAACCCAGCAGCGTGCAGTGAAATGGCCGGGCACTCCCACCGGAGAACACCCAGCTCAGCTCTGCAGCCCCCTAGTCATCAACGGGATCTAGTTACTCGCTTTCTAAGCGCAGTACATGCTCTCGGCACACGCCAGGGTACAAGTGCCGAAAGCACCGCCCGAAGGAAGAGAGTGCATGCCACACTGCTGATTATGAGTGGTAATGATGAATGACATCACGCGGGTATCCTGCTCACTGCTGGGCTGAAGATAGAGGAGGCGCAGCCCCTGTCCTGAGGAGCTTTCAAGTTAAATATGAATCAAAAACGGTTCACAGGCCGCCTGTTTATTGCCTTGGCTTTTGTTTATGGCCGTAGGATCATCTGCAAGATGGCTTGGGGAGAATGTTTGAGAGCAGTGGTTGAAGCATGCTTGTTACCAGCCAAGAGGCTTACGCGAAGGAGGAAGGCTTAGGACGTGCATGGATGACTCCCAGCTGAGACCAGCTCACCATTTGGTCCTATTGGCTCAGCCAAAGGAAAGCAACCCCCAGCAGCAACAACTCTAGTGCTGGGCCAGGAGAAGCTGGTCTTAGGCTCAGCCGGAAGAGCTGCTGCCAGACCTCGAGGGTCACAGCTGGAATCTCATTGAGGGTCTTGGATGATCGGGATGCACTCTCGTCTCAGGAGAGGGGATCCTACAGCTGGGGGTCAGCCCTGTGTCTGGCCACAGATTGGCAAACAAGAGCCCCTCGCAGGGTTCCAGTCAGTTGGTCTTGAACCCACCTTGGCTGTTTCATCATGTACAAGCTGGGGAGTCCACCAATCCACTAGGATATCCATGGCAACCGTCCGCACTTCCCTGCCCCAGTGCTCCCGGTCATGTGACGCTGCTGGGCCCGCACCAGGGTACTGATTTAGATTTGGGTGCCCCATCTGAAGCCCACAACACAATTTTTATGTCACAGGCTAAAAATAGTGTAATTTGTTATACACTGGCGTTTCTCAGCGAATTGGCTTTCCTCCCCCCCCCCCCCGAGGATTAACACACACCGCCCATTTCCAGTGTTTGCAACTGATGAGTCAGTGCTCCATGCACACGCACACAGACACACAACATTAATTTCGGCCACAACACGCTGTGGCTCTGCAGCTGTTATTCACATGAGCTCAATTGCAGAGCAGAGTTGCTCTCGAGGATGCACGGTGTGTTGGTTAACACACAGCACTGGAAGTCAGCAGATCTTTGTCTCTTTCTAGTTCTGATATTAATTCGCTGCGTGACGTTGGCCAAGTGACTTCTCCTTTCTGTGCCACAGTTTTCCTGTCTGTAATATGGGAACAACAATTCTGAACGCGCCGGGGGTGGAACCTGTAAAGCTGGGTGGAAGGCGCTCAAGAAGATAAACGTACAGGTCTATATCTTTGGTCTGGCTGCTTTCTGCAGCAGGCTAAGTGGTCTGTTCTAAACTCGCTCTGCATGGCGCTGTCATGCCCTGATGAGCTGAAATGTGATGAATGGCTACACAGCCCCTGCTTCCTCTCAGAGGGACATACCAGGATGGCCCAATAAGTGGCAACCTGAGTCTTTCCCTTTTGGACCTGAATGTAATTTGTTCTTTGAAGTTTCCACATCTCACTGGATGTGACCGATTCTCTCTATAGCCCACCTGTTAATTGTATAGCATCGGTGTCAGCTTCTTTGTACAAGACAAGTGGCCACATACAAAAAACCCAACTGCAATTGGCACATTTGCTCCTCTTGTTGGTAGCTGAAGTAACGAGGCTAAGGACTGAGTGGGCAGTGGCGAATCAATGACCCTTTCCGCCCCAGGAGAGCCTCTGGATGAAGGGGGGAGGTAACTTGGCTGGCAGTAACTGGGGGTGGAAGGGACATGGACTTCTGCAGCTGCTCATGTCTCTGTTCCATGCAGTCCTGTCTCCTGGGCTGCCATCAATGTCGTGCATTTCAACAGCACAAATTGGTCCATTCTAGTATTTGATTCTCCCAGCTCTCTCCATCTCCCCAGGGCAATTGGAGGGATTATGTCAGATACCTGGATCAGAATGAAAACTAGAGCCTTGCCATTGTAATGCTCCTGCCTTTTCTATAAAGCGAGGCCCCAGTCTCACTCACATGTGCTGTATGTATTAGGTTAGGCTGCTGGTGGGCTAAGACTGCTGCCTATCATGCTGACAATCTTATCTCGCTGTTTCCTTCTGTTCCCCCATCTGTCTGCAGCCATTTGTTGGCTCTTGTTTCACCCATAGATGGGCAGCTCTTTGGGGCAGGAATCAGCTTTTTGTTCTGTGTTTGTGCAACTCTGAGTACACTGGGGGTCCCGGGCCCTGCTTCAGGCTCCTAGGCACTCCCATCATTTCAATCATAATGAATAATAGGATCATTTGTCTCCCTGACACAGAGCTCAGCACCTTGACAGGCTGCATGGGGAGATGGACAGCTCCGCTTTGCTGGGCACAACCCAGTCAGGTGATTGAAAAAAAAAGATACGTATTTCTAAATAATTAGAAGTGGAGACGCTGCACCGCACAGGGTGCAAATTGAGGCAAAACAAGGGGCTACAATATACACAAGGCTCCTTCCATACAGAGTCAGCTACAAGCACAGGATAATAGGGAAGGCCTGAGCTGGTATCTTGGCACTGAACTCTAACCAGAGAAGCTGGATTTTGCTCCAGTATATCTTCTGGGGGTAAGGAAAGCAGCATTGAGGAGGTGATAAGTCCCTCCACAATGTCTATTGAATTACACCGCTTTCCGGCCTCCGGTAATGTTTGACTTCCTCACAGCTGTCTATACTCCTTTCTACCCCTACTGTTGCAGAGTGTGGCAACTAATGGTTTCCTCCCCAGAGTGGCTGCATATAAGTAGTGCTGTGCATATTTTGTGAATTGCTTCAGGATGAAGTGTGCACCAAATTCATCCACTGGAATCAATTACTTTCTGTGGCAATTAGCACAAATGACAAGGAATTAACAAAAGCAGGTAAAGAGTCAACGGTTCCATGATTAGATCTGACATTTTCCATAGTGCAAAAGCCCCTCTTTAAACTTAAAACTTTTTAACTGGAATAAAGAGCCAATGTTTACCAAAAGACTCTGTCAATAAGCAGAATACGTACTTAGCAGTTACGTGTATTTTAACTAAGTTCATTTCATTTGTGGGGCTTGGCTTCCTTCCTAGGAAATCATGTTTCCATTTAACAATCTAACAGCAGAGGAAATTATGAACTCTTACTTGGAGGGAAGTTTCTTGTATGTCAGATTTCCACATTATGCAAATCTCTGTGTGGAGATTAATCTGGCTGTTGCTGGGTGGAATTGCGTCTCCACTGAAACACACTCCCTTTCTCGCTCGGATTCAAAGCAACGGGCCTGATTATCCTCTCACTGTCACCAGTGCGGCTTCATTGGCTGCAGCAGAATGACGCCTGTTTGATATCAGTGGGCGTGAAAAGAGAAGCAGACCTAGAGCGTATGAAGTTGCTGTACTGGGTTTTATTCTTGTGTCAGTCAAAGGGGCTAGGGCAGTGGTGGGCAACCTGAGGCCCGCAGGCTGCACGCGGCCCATCAGGGTAATCCGCTGGCGGGCCGCGAGACAGTTTGTTTACAATACATTGACCTTCCACAGGCACGGCCACCTGCAGCTCCCAGTGGCCACAGTTCGCCGTTCCCAGCCAATGGGAGCTGCGGGAAGCAGTGGCCAGCACGTCCCTGCAGCCACGCCGCTTCCCACACCAGGGTTGCGATGTGGTAATATGTTGGTGTAACGTGATATGTTGGTGTGGTGTATTGTGGTGCGACGTGGTGATACCTTGGTGTAACATGATGATATGTTGGTGTGACATCGTACGTTGATGACATTGTATGGTGATGTGACATGGTGATATGTTGGTGCGACATGGTGATATGTTGGTGCGACATTGTACGTTGGTGACTTTGTATGGTGATGTGACAT